CATGCTGCTGCTCAGGGGCCAGGAGCAGAGGGCTGTGATCCGGAGGAGGGTGCAGGAGGGACTTGTGGCCCAGCAGGGTGTGCTGAGAGCTAGGCTGGGGTCAGCTTTATAGGCGCCCTGGGCTGGGCCTGGAGGGGGTGGGCGGGAGGAGGGAGGGGGGAGGGCACACCCCTCGGCCCTCCTGGGGGCTCAGCAGCAGACAGGTCCATGAGCCTGGAGGAGGGGGCTGTCTGGAAAGGGCACAAAGGGCCGTCTGGACGGCATGCAGGCCTGGAGCCACTGGCCGCTGCTGTCCCAGCTGCTCAACAATAATTTTAGTGCCTGTTCAGTTTCCCCAGCCCTGCCTCAGTCCTATTCTATGAAAAAGAGAGTCCCATTGGCCAACCGTTCTAAATCTCTTTCCTGGGGGCCACACTCCGGGTCTACGTTTGTTCCTCAGCAAGGAAAGAAGGAAAATATTTGCATGCCTGGCAGTGCTGACCAGACCCTGTGCTGGCACTTTCACAGACGCCACTGTGTCGTCTCCCTTCTGCCATCTCCCATGCCCCCGCAGGCCCCACTCTAGTTCCCTCAGAGCTCCCTCAGAGTTGAGTTACAGTCCTTGTCTCCTGGATGACAGAAGGAAGCTACGCGCTGTCAGGACAGGAAATCTGGCAACTCTGCTCTCTTTGGCAGTCCCAGGAAAAGCAGTTTTTTCAGCAACCGTCTGTGTAATCACACAACCACAGCGAGCACTTCCCCGCTTCAGGCAGCTGAATCATTCTGGGGTGCTTCACACATGAGCCTGGCCACCTGGCCTCACACCAGCAGCGCTCAGCTTGAGCCAGCCTAAGGCAGGAACAGAGAAAGCAGAGGCCAGAGCTGCCCAGAGTCATACTGTCCAAAGCCTGGGCCTGGGTCCAGTTGGGTGGGATCCCCCCAGTGCCTGAAGTTTGTCCTGTCTGCAGAGCATGGGTTTTAGACAGCCTGAGTTCATAGACAGGCCCTGCTGGCTAGCTCTTTGACCTCACTCAAGTTACTTCTCAGGTTTTCTCATCTGAAAACCTGTTGCCATCAAGTCGATTCTGACTCATAGTGACCCTACAGGACAGAGTAGAACTGGCCCATAGGATTTCCAAGGAGTAGCTGGTAGATTCAAACTGCTGACCTTTTGGTTAGTTGTCAAGCTCTTAACCACTTGCCACCAGGGCTCCATTCTCGTCTGAAGGGGGTGACAATCACAGGGTCTCCTTCCTAGGGTTAATATGAAGATTAAATGAATGGATCGGTGTAAAGCGTTTAGCCCAGTGCCTGACACCCTGCAAGGGCTTGCTGTCATCATTATCTGGCTGGTCTTTGCACTTTCAGAGGTGTGGCTTTCTATCAAAATATCAGTAGCAATAATAGTGATCATTACTTGAGTGTTATTGCGCGCCAGATGCTGTGGTAAACCCTGTGTAATTCATTCATTTAATCCTCACCACAGTGCTATGACGCAGATGTTCGTCTCAGCCACATTTTCGTGACGCAAAGTCGGAGCCCTGCATGGTGAATAACCTGCCAGTGCTCACTCGGGCAGCAAGTGGGAAGTGTAGGAGGTAAACCCATGTGTCCGTCTGCGGAGGCCCCTCCTGGCACAAGGGATGTGAGGATGTGCAGAAGGAAGCCCTTCCGGAACAACATGCCCCGCCTCCTCGTGTTCTGTCGCGCGGGAGGTAAGCAATGACGGAGGAGGAGGACAGTGACTGTGGGCCAAGGCTGGGCCTCTCTGGTCTCCTCTGTGGGGTATGCTGTGTCGCTGACGGGTCTTTCCTGTCATCCCTCTGCCTCCAGACTCCTCATACACTCCAAGCAGAGAAGGAGAGAGCTTTCTGCTGCTCAAAGGTGGAGTTTACCCTAGATGAAAGCCCAGGGAATATCATGCACAAATTGCCACCATAGTTCTTGCGGGGCAGTTAGAGGGTTTTTAGTAGGAAGTGGAGGAGGGAGCTTAGAATGCAAGGCAGGGGAGGAATAATAATAACTGATAAAATCATAATGGCTAATAGTGCTAATGGCCATGCTATGCACTGTTCTGAGTGCTTTACATGTATTAACTCTTTATCCTCACAACAACGTGGTGATGAGGACGTTGCCATTATTATTCCCATTTCATAGATGAGGAAACTGAGGCATAAAACTTACATAACTTGCCTTAGGTCACATGGCTAATAAATGCCAGAGCCGGGGTTGTTTGAAGGGAAGGAAACAAGGATCCAGTCAAACACATACACAGGACGAGGTAAGAAAAAATAAATCCTGCGAACGGAACCTGGGGAAGGAGAATCTCGGGAGGCGATGGATCGTGGTCTCAGCCTCTTTGCTCCCCTTTCCTTTCTCTCCCACCCCATTTCCCTATGATTTGTGTCATTCACAAGAAAGACTTCAAATCCCATCTCGGAGCTTACATCTCACATAGTCTAAACACCCCCTGAAATATAAGGCCCCACCTGGGCGTCCGGCCCAAACAGGCCCTCCTGCTCTCTCTGTGACAAGTGTAACTTTCTTCAAAAGAATATCTGTTGCCTTTCTTTGCAAGTGATTAGCAGGGAAAGGACTTGCTTGATGCAAACATTTGGGCCTTAAGTCAGGCCAAAAGGTGCAGAAGTGTCACATTTACAGGCAACCCAGGGCCAGTGGCCCTCAGTCCCTGGAAGCAGCTCTGGGCTGGTGTTCCATAAATATGCAGTAGTCCGCCAGCCACGCCACTGGGCCAGAGGAAGCCCTGTGGCTTATCAGCAGCCAGGCTGGTGCCAAGGATATAACACGCAGGCTGCCCTTGCACGCCATGGCCTCTCCCCAGGCACTCAGCACCTAGACCCGAGGGAGCTCTGGCCGGAGGCACACAGTGAGGCCTGATGGCTCCTGTGCTGCTTTCAGCAGGGACCTACTGTCACAGGGCGAGGGAGACCAGGCCCCTGGAGCCCAGCGGATGCCCACAGGACTCGCACAAGGCTGTCTCCACCTAAGAGATACCTCAGGGCTGAGGACCCCTGGGAATCCCCAGGGGGGCCAGGAGCACCCTCTGCAATTGGCATGACGGACCAGTCAAATTAAAACCTCATTTTCCGAGAAGAGAATAAAATGGTGGGACCCTCCTCTGCTTGACCACCTGCCTCCCCCAGATGTCCTTCTGGTGCTTCTGGGTCGGCCTCTCAGCCAGAGACAGTCAACTCTGAAACCCTGCTCTCCACAGGCACGAGGACTGCCCAGTCAGCAGCAGGGCTCTGACTAAGGACCAGTCCTGCCTGCAGGGATGGGCGTCCGGGGCCCAGCAGAGCTGGGCAGGTGGCCCAAGGCTGGGAAGGGAAACTGAGAACCCTTCCTGATCTTGGGGGGAGGGGGAGACCTTCCCTGAGCGGGGAACCTGGGAGCATTCGGCACCAACAGAGGGTTTGTCCAGCAAGGCGCCCCATCCTCTTCTTCCCCCTGCTAGTTTGTACAATCAGAGCGTTTAGGGCTGAAATCGGCTTTCCGGTCCATCCCCCTCCTACCATCCAATTTTTAAGAGTCAAGAACGTAGAGGCTCAAAGAGGTGGCAACTTCCCTGAACTCATAGTTAACGACGGATGCCCCGCAAAGTCAGATCTACCAAATGGCAGCCCAGAGTTCTTCCCACACCCTCAGTCATTTCCGCCAGAGTTCTGCCCCGGGTCCTGGAAGCCGAGGGCTCAGCCCGCAGCCCCAGGCGGCCGGGCGACTCATAGAATCCAGGCGGTAGGGTCTGTGCGGGGGCAGGGAGGCAGGAGAAGCAGACAGAAAGCAAATCCCCCAGACCCATGAGGCTTCCCCAAGACACAGGCCTTCTCCTGAATGTGGATTCCAGGCAGGTTGAAGGGTTTTGCCGGGGAAATAAAATAATTGAGCAATTAGCTAGTGGCGAAAGAAGAAAGCGAATGTGGATTGGGAGGCCTCTTACAATGGCCTGATCAGTGGCCGGAGGAGGGGCAGTCTCCCTTTGTCATGCAGAGGAAGGGGCCAGGCCTCTCCATGTCTGTGGGTCTGGCCCGGGCAGTCTGTGGGGTCAGGCCAGGTTTGAAAAGCTGAAAAACTAACACAGCCTCTTCTGTCCTGGTGAGAGGAAGGCGTCTGGAGAGGCGGGCGCACTGCTAGAACACCCCATACTACTACAAAGGTGTTCGAGTCAGACCTCTCCCCGAGGCGTTCTAAGGTGGAAGTAGTCCAGACTGTTTACAGACCCGTTTTTTTTAAATTTTGGAGGACTTTTTTTTCTTTTTTTGGGGAAATATTGAGCTGTGAACGCTCTCAGCGTAATGCTGGAATGCTGTACAAAAGTGCAAACACTCGGCGTTAGCACTTGTTTCGTTCGTTCGCATGCATATCGATTAGGACTGAGGACTTAGGACCAGTCTCCTCCAACCCAGATGGCCCGAGGATAAATCACTCAGACGTCTCAGCTTGCTTTGCCCCTCGGCAGTATTCTCCCTGGCCTGGTGTTATCCGGCCCGCCTTTCCACACAGCTTGGCCGTCAGGAAGCCAAAATCCAAGCTGCCCCTGAGCTTTTCGGGTGGGCTCCCCATTCCTCACCTCCTTCAGCTCCAGACAGCTTTTCCGCAACCCCACTGTTCCGAAGCCTCCCACATCCCACTGGGTCTGAGTTTTTTCCATGGGAGGGGGTGTCCCTCAGAGCTGTGATTTCTACCCAGAATCACCTCAGAACTAGATTTTTGGGCCCTACCTCAGTCCTACTGAATCAGCTTCTGGAGGGCAGGGTCCAGGAGTCTGAACGTTAAAAAACACTCTTTGCACGCTGGGTTTGAGAAGCACCGCAGCGTGGGATGTGCAATAGCAGGTCTGTGAGGTAAGGGATTGAG